CCTCCTCCTCCTCCTCCCTCCCACCTGCTCCTTTGCTCAACTTACAGGTTGAGGAGGTCTGTGGACTCAAACATATTGCTGGTCAAAATCACTAACATATTTTATTTCAAAAACTGTTTATAGACGAGAATATGAATATTTTTGGTGACTTTTTTTCTGTTAATATACTGAACATCCTCTTCTTTCAGCATCTATCAGAAGAGGACGATGTAAAATTTGACGAATCTAATACAGTCTAGTCATTTCAGCACCATGGACAGAGCAGAACAACCCGCGGACATCAAACCATTGATAGTTTCTCAATAAGTTAGAATATTATCAAATAACTCATTTCTTTCAACAATTCAATTCAGTTAGTTAAAACCTATCATTAAATATATTCATTTTACACAGAGATATAGTGCAATTTTTTTTTCTTTCTGTTAATTTTAATGATTAAGGCTAACAGTTGCTGAAAGCCCAAACTTCAGTTCCAAAAGTTTACAAAAAAGATTTTTTAACACTCTTTTGTCGGCCCCCTGAAAAGTTTTCCCATGTACTGTAACAATTCTTCCTCCGGATTCTTGAACCTCAATTTTCAAATAAAGTGAAAAAAAAAAAAAAAAATCATCTAAAAAGAGAATCTTGGACCACTGAGCAAGACTTCTTTTTCTTCGAGCCCCGATGTGACCCTCCAGTTGTTTTCTCTGGTTCGGGTCTGGTTGGACACCTGAGAGGCTGCAGCTGCAGCCTCTGTCCTGGAAACATCTGTCTGGGTCTTCAGGATGTCACTTATGAATCTCAACTAAAATGTTGTCTGGCCTTTGCTTCAAATCCTCTCAGGGATGCAGTTTTATTCCTTGTTTTCCACTCAACTTAACATCAACATGCTGTGATACAACCCCTTATGAAAGCCAGCTTGTTTAGCAGTTACCTTGCATAGCCCACAGCTTCCATTCAGGCTTTCAGTGAATGTTTACTGGACAATTGTCATGTAAGCAGTTTTCTCCAGCGTAGGCTAAGGGTGGACAAACCCCTGTGGTTGAACATCCCTTCAGCCATGTGTGTTGGCCTTGTTTCACCCATAATCATTAAAATTAACGAAAATAAGCCCACAAAACAACAGCAAAAAAAATAAAATAAAATAAAACAAACAAAAAAAATAAAATTTTTAGATGGCCTTGTACAGCAGGAATGGTGATTCCTTTCAAACCCCACAGTTACATCCACTAACTTCAATGTATTTTATTAGGATTTTATGATAGCCCATCAAATAGTGGTAGATGAATAGGAAGAGGAAGGAAAATAATAAATGTTTTTTTGTAGTTTTTACAAGGCAAACTCTGGAAGGTGTGGTGTGTGTTTATACTCAGCCACCTTTACTCATAAACCTCTGAAAATTCAGGATAAACAATGGCCTTCAAAGTCAACTGTTACAGGTTTCAAAAGACCTTAGACTGGTGCAGAGGTTCAACTTTCACTCTAAACATACAGCCAGGGCTGCATGGCATGATATCAAATGTTAGAATGTCCCAGTCAAAGTCTAAACCTAAATATAACACAATAGTAAGACTTGAACATGTGTGTTTACAGACATTCATCCAAACTGAGTGACTCAAAAAGTTCTGCCTCTTATGTGCAAAGCAGTTTGCTTAATTACCCCACAGCTGT